AACAATTACAAGTTATGTTCACTATTTTATCCCACCAGAAGTTTTAAGTTTTAATTAAAACTCATAGATAAAATGTTTATCAGTAATTCATTGTATTTATAGCTAAAACATTTTAATTAACATACATATGTTTATTTTAACAGCTTGTGACAGGAATAAATTTTATAGTATATTCTATATATTAACTAAATGGCTTATTATTGTTATTATTATTATTTTATTATAATTAAAATAATAATAATTATTATCATTAACAGTCAGCAGTGTTAGTCTTACGCCTGCAGCCAGTAAAATTTTCCTTGGACCAGCAGATTTTTTAGAATAATTAAATGAAATGGTCCAACATGACCTTTATTATTATTATTATTATTATTATTATTATTATTATTATTATTATTATTACCAATAACATTGTCCCAGGTCACGCCCATCCTCACTAATGCATTTCCATCCCATGTAGTTATCCATACATGCCCCATGGGACCCACAGACACAGCTATCACTTCTAGATCTTCTCCTATTGAGATTTCCTGCCAGTTTTGTCCCTCAGGACAATCTCTTGTGACATTTGTCCTGAAGTATACCTGCTTAAAAAAAGTTGGGAAAAACTTACATTTTAAAACATAAAAAAATAAACTGTAGGTTATCATATTAATTGTAGTTAATTTTTCATGATGATACTTTTGAACAGTGACACTTGCATTGAAAAAGTCCAAAACGGGGCCTTTTGGCATTTGTTCCACTGAACGGTAAAATATCTTAAATAAATATGTCCATATTATAAATAATCTCTACTAATTTAGAGTAAACTTTATTTATTTATTGATTGATTTTTGTTGTTGAAAACTATCAATTTGAAAGTAATTTAATATTAACCACCTTTCCAGAGTCAGTGATAGCCCATACACACAACTGCCCCAGGGATTGATTTGGCATGTCCTGGCCACCAACTGCTACATCTGCAAATGGTGAACCTGAAGATTCACTAGAGACACCAGGTATCTGTAAGTTAAAGATAAAAAATTGGGGGAAAATATCAATGATAATCATAAAACTATGACTTCAATTATGCAGCATTAGAAAACGTGAAAGAAAGATGATCTGATGCCTTTTGAAACAGGTACCAAGAAAATTTGGTCGTTTCTTTTTTTTCTTTTTTTGCAACAAAAGGTAGCAGATCATCTTTCTCCAATGAATATCATACTTCATAGTTGAAAATTCACATAATTTTATATGCATATATATGATCTTTATAAAATTAATAGTACCTCATTCTCCTTAAACATTCATCACAATAAAATCACCTTATTCCACATATCTGTGGCAGTGTACTTTCTATGCCTAATCCACTTTCTCCTCCGCACACAAGAAGACCATTTTTGCTCTGCAGTCCACTGGTTAGGAAAATTTACGGCATACTGCCAACCCTAAAAATATCAAGATGTGGTCATTAATATAAATCATGCTTTTTTTCAACAGCAGTTATTTTCTGCTACAATATATCATTTAAAGATATGACCTTTATGCTGTAAAATGTTCCAAATAAAGTACATTCATGATGCTGTTCAAGAATGCATTCAGTATAACCACATCAACGTGTGGCCAATCAACATAGTTACTAGTTAAGCTTTTTGGTTGGGTTACAATCAAAGATTGCACTTCAAATTTAAACTGCTTTTTGCACTCTGTGCAAGTATCGTTGTAACTTTACCTTTTTCTGGCATCATTAAGATAAAAGTCATAGTAACACATCTGAAAATTGCTTGTTGCATTTCTTCAAAGATCAGACATTATTGATTTTATTTACCCCTTTATCAGTGATATGGCCATAAAAGTTCTCATCAAAGTACCAATCCTCCTCCCAACACCAGGCAGCAGAAGGCAGCTGAAAACTTTCCTTTGGTGTTTCCACACTGCCATCATCTTGGCTCCAGTGTTTTGGATCTGTAGGCAACAGTTTGTTGGAAAATCCTCCAAATGGGGTCCACCTCTAAAACAAGAATTAGCCATTCTTTTTAAAAATCAAGGCCAATTCCAGAACTTCTTAAAGTCATAATAACTCTTCATTTTGGCCAAAAATTGGATTTTCCTGGAGTAAACGGCAATTTTCCGTACTTACCAATGGTCAGCGACCCCATTCCTGCATTCAAAGTTAATCCAGGGTTTTTTTCCTAAACGTACGGTTTTTTGTTAAAATCTCTTAAGAGATTTTAACTGACGGAGCTCTCTCTGACATCGCATAGTCACTGTTGACCTACTTAAAACCGCGGGAAAAGCAGACAACAACAACACTATAAACGATTCATGAGATATATTCGTCTTTTTGTTAAAAATACATAAATATCCACAATGTGTGCCATTCTGGGCTTTTCGTTATCTGACGCACTGTACAAAAACTCGCAACTTACGTCTGCGTCTGCATTAATGCGTTTGGCGCCATATGTTATTTTGGTCTCGAATGAATGTGAGAATCCGCGTGACACCATTACGTCATTAGCAACGAATGCCTTGATGTCCGGAAGAAAAGCATCGAAAGCCCTATTGAAAAGCACAGATTTTAGTTATACTACAATAACGGCCGTTTTAGTGGTAAAATACAATGGAATATATTTCCATGCGTTGTTTACAATGTATTTCATGCGGAATTTTGAATCTCAAAGGAAGAGTTATTATTGCTTTAATTTGATAAGATATCATTTCACAATGAACCTCACAATTTAAAAATGACACCTTGTATTAACGATTACTTATAGAAATGTATTTATTGTACTGACTGACATGGTTCCCATATCTTCAGTTTACACTTCATCTTGTTTTATATTTAGGTTTATATCTTTCTTAAATAAAAATAAAAACATTCTGATGAATATGGTTAGTGTATATTATAGATAAAGGCAGTCCTTGTTGGATGTGAATAGCTGGCAAAAATTTTGTTACATACAAATGCAATTGCCATAATAAGTATCAAGTCTTTCACCCCTCTAAATGGCTTATCAGATTGACATATAAAATACTTCACTTCACGGATAATTTCAATAAAAATCATAGCCATGTTAACCTTAGCTGCCATAAAATTACAAAAAGACCCAACAGAAAAAAATGTGAATGTAAAAAAATACAGAACATATACGCTGGTACCTCATTTTCATATGTCCATTCCAAAACCCTTATAGGCACATCTGTAGACACCACATAGATGTAGAGGTGTCTATCACAACCAACAGCCCAGGTGACACCAACTGCAGCGGACACTTTCCTGAACTGACTCAAGGTACCTGGTGTGATATGGCTGTCCCTGTTCTTCACTTCCTCCCAGAATGTGCTGTTTGCAGCTAGTTTAAATACCCTGCCGTGGTTGCTGACTGCCCACAGGTATGTGCTAGGCATCTGGATAGATTCACATATTCTATCTGAAGCACAAATCATAAATGGAAGATACTTCTTACTGCTAGTTACAATTTCAAAAGGAAAACAGGAGTCAAATGACATCACCATTAATATGTAATCTACACACAGTTTTCTCTTTGTAGCTGTGTCGTATTCATAATCTTCACATCTGTTGAAATTGCCAGAGTCACAGATATTAAAACAATTAAGTGGTACAGATATGTTGAGCTCTTTATTATCTTCTTGGAATCTCCACCATTCTTAATTTAAGCTACATGTACAAACCTCACACAGTTTGAAAATATCTATAAAATCCACACACAAATCCATCGAATGCACACACAGGTGTACTAAGGTAGTTTATAATGTATGATATTTGCATTATTGTAATGGCATTCTCAATATTACACTATCTCACTCAACATTCAAAAATACATGTAGTAAATAAAAATGCCACAAGTATAGAAACAATCAACTAAAGGTTATCAAAAATGGTCCATATCCCTTATGCCTGATGTCATCTGCTTGGACTCGGCTCGGATGACCAATAAAAAAGCCCAGGTTTGAGAAACATTAGTAACATGCAATCCTATGTGGTATGGAGAGTTGGAATTTCATCAACAATTCATAGCACTGGATACACCAACTTAGAAACCAATATAACGTGTGGGGCCGTAAATGTGGCCTTTAAAATAATGAAATTACTGCAGCTGTGAACTGTGCATCTGATCATCTGTGACTGAAGTTTGGCCAATAAGAATGGTACTAGTGAAGTCAATGAAAAGCATATGTAAATCTATATATATACCAGCAATATTTGTCCAGCTGTGTTCAATATGTTCTTGACATAGTTGTTCTACTCAGTAACACCTAAAAGTACCGTACATCTGAGTATGAAATTCCTATTAATTAGCACAGTGAACAAATATGCATATTAAGTAAGTCAGTGTAGATGACTATAGGTACTGGTGTGTACAGTAGGGGTGGGAATACTGCAGAATCGAAGTTCATTTGATTGCACAGCCGGCAGGAAAAAAAACACATTAAACTAATTTGCAAAATTATTATCAATAATTAAAAAGGTTACCGTTAAAACCAAACTGACCTTGGGCATAACCTAACTCATCAATAGTCATACATGCAATGCATGCATATTTGTGCATACTTATTTACTGCACTCTCTTCATAAACGACTTCACTCATCTTTATTTACCTAACATATATTACAATGTACAATAATAATTACATATTTACAGTTTCATTCGACAAAAACAATTTACTTGATAGAACATCATATTAAAAATAACAAAAACATCAATTCTAACACACCGAAGAACTAGTATTAGAATAAGAATTAGTCAGAGTCACGTCGGTGATTAAAATAAAAACGCACCTGTACAATTTATGCATGCCAATTTCCCAGCAGGAAATGTACAGCAAAATAGGTCAAAGTATATACTCTGCTGTGTAGTTTTTCTTTTCGATGTTTCTAGTTTCTGATATGCTATTTTAGGCATGAAATACAGTATAATTTTGTTAGTAAAAATTGTAAATTTCTTTGTTTTGATATATCAGAGTTAATTTTTGTAGATGAAAAGATTCATTTTACCAGAATCGTGAAGCAAACTACAACCAAAAATAAAAACGGACCATACTCGTGACCCAATGACGTCATTCATAAGCATCGAGCGAGGAAACAGAAACAACGTAAGTAACCTACCTGTGACACTTAGGATAAATTTAGTATTAGTGTAGTGTTTATCTTTCAGATTCGTTTCATAATATTTATCTCTTTTTTGATAAGCTTTTGGAGGTTGTCTTCTTAACAAACGAGCGTTGCTAGACTTGAATCAGAGACGAATAAAGGTTCTGTTGCAATTTGTAACCATCATCATTGCCACATTGGCGTCAATATTACAATAATCATTGCTTCAATCGTTCATGAATATTGATGTTTGAATTAGGGTTTATGTGATAACGATTCGATAGCACAAGTCAATGTTTTATAGAATCTGACATTCAGCCATACTCGCATAACGTTTTGGTAATATATTTATACACAAGTATGACAAAAACATGATTACCAAATACTACTACAGTACATGTACTGTATGATGTAGTAGCTGTTCATTAAATTAAGAGAATAGCTACCTGTACTCTCGTACACCACAGTAAGTGTACACATAAAAATTAAATATAAAGGTTTTTTTTATTTTTGATAGAAATAAAAGGAATGGTAAATTAATAACATAGCGAGACCCATTTTGGACAAGAAATGACAGTTTTTTCTAGTCCTGCCCAGTTGTGGATCACTGTGTAAATGTGAAATTTGGAATATCACCATGTATGATTACACATAGGCAGCCATATCTTAATTTGAAACCAGTTTCTCATCATCTTAACTTCTTAACTTATTCAAATGGCTGAAGAAAATCCAGCTCACCAGCTGGATTTTGAGAAACCGGTTAACAAAAATCCTCACGCATTCAGACTACTACAGTTATTCGAATCGGGACCTAATTCGCTATTTATTCGAACAAATGACTGTAGTGTGAAGGGGGTATATGCTAGCAGTATCATCGCCAATGTCATTTCTAAGAGAAATAAGATGTGGATCTGATCATTTTGGTTTCTCTTACTATTCCACAGTTAGCTATTGAATTAAATGTTACAAACTCATCCTTTGAAAGAGTCAGTAGAACAAAGATTTAGGCTACCTCAAAAAATCATGTGTTAGCACTTTTATGTGTGTTTTTTTGTGCGTTATGTGACTGTGCATAAAGGTTTGTCATAGATAACTGTAAAATGATGTTCAGCTGGTATACCCATCCAGAGGCTGTGAAGAGGGTAAGGTTCATCTGCTTGTCTATCCGTTAAGCTGCCATGAAATCATTCACCACAGAAGACTACCATAACTGTAATGGAGTTAGAAGTACGTCAAATTGTTTCGATTTGCTATAGATTTTTTTTAAAAAGCACAATCTCATTTTTAGGTTCAGCAAGTAGCAGATTTTCTCCAAAATGTCACAAATGCCCAGTGCTCCTCCACCAGATGGAGGTGAAAAACCACCTGCTTACGAGTCCTTACAAGGTGCTCCACCACCTCAGAATTATCCAGGATATCCTCCTAACCAGCCACCTAAATATGGCCCTGGAGGTAAGTAAATATACTTGTATTTGTTGTATATCACACTGAAGTCGGTGTCTTGCATATTGCGTAGTGTTTTTGTACTCTTACTTGTGAGAATCGGCTTAGTGCATTTATTTCTTATTTAAATTTTATGAATAGGGTAGCATTGCAAAGACCAACAATAACAAAGATGTAAGCTTCTGTGAGGGAGTTGGTATTCTCATTTTATTTCTTTGCACTCCCCTTCTCCCAGCTGGTGCCTATCCTGGGTATCAACAGGGCTACCCTCCTGCAGCAAATTACCCAACAGCGGGTGCTTACCAGCCAGCCCCAGGGGGCTATCAGCCAGCCCCAGGGGGCTACCAGCCACACTACCAACAGCCACAAGCAGTGCCAGTACAACAGAATGTAGTGGTAGTGGGAGGATGCCCAGCTTGCAGGGTAAGCGCCTCTTGTATTTTGCATGCATTGGTGTTCAAGGTAATATGTTAGTAATCAGGTCTGATGCAGTTTTATCCACGAATTTATATTCTTTGTGGATGCTGTGTATTGAATATAATGATCAAAATTAGACAAAGTGAAAGTTCAGAATTTTTTTCAGTTTCCGTAGAATATCAATTTTTTTTATATGTCATTTTCTAGGTTGGTGTACTTGAAGATGATTTCACGTGCTTGGGTGTATTGTGTGCAATCCTGTTTTTTCCCATTGGAATTCTGTGCTGTTTAGCAATGAGACAGAGAAGGTGTCCCAATTGTGGAGCTGTCTTTGGATAAGCTGAATTAACAACAGAAAACACTACACATGTGATTTTTTTCTTTTGATCTACCTGTGCATCAGCAGGTCTGAATCCATGGGTTTTGAAATCTGATAGAAAAATGAATGCCAGATAAATGACCTGTAAAACCATTGGATTGAAATGTCTAAATTATTTCACTGGAAGAGCATACTTTATGGCTGTCTTCTGAGACTAAGTACAAAATCATTATGGTTTTCAACTGCATATCAACAGAAATCTGGAGATTTTACTTATTTTCCTTTGTAGTTTTGCATGGATTTTTACACAAAATAACCATACTAAAATATGTAGTCTATGCAGGATTACAAAGAGGGGGCAAACTTGAATATTAGGAATATTTTTGGCATTGCAATGCAGTTGAAAAAGATTTGAACTTCCTTTTTCATGCAGGACATAAGATGTAATAATATTTTGGGGATAGATTTTACTTATCATTAGTGTTTGTATTCAATTATTTAATCTAGGAATGATTAGCTGATTGACTGAACTGTTAATTTCATTTCTTAGAAGTCTTGTGCTGTTACACTAAAAAAGTCATCTGGTTAATACTATACTTCTGTTTATGAAATATTTGTGTAGATATTTTAAGCTCTTATTTTCTGACACGGGATTTGCTTCTTAACAAAACGAAAATATAAACAAATTGGGGGTGGTAAATATGTAAACTGCTTTAATGCATTTTATTAACAAAAGGCTAATGTTGTTAGTTTAATTACACGAGAAATTATTTATTAAGATGATTTTTGAAAAAAATATTTTTTTACATACAGCAGGTGTTCAATTGTATAGCTTGTAATTGGCTGCTTCACAAAGAAAGAAATGCATTTATTCTTATGTAACAAAACATCCAAGAAGACTTATATGAAATAATCATTCCAGATCTGAAATGTATTAAAAGGAAAGTGTTGCATCAATTTAAGGGACGCAGTCATTTTTGTTTTTGGTATTTTTCATCCAAATAGTATTTTAGAAGCTGTCACTGAATAGTTGAACCTATCCATCTGTAAATTTAGTATTCCATATTTTCTTTTCATTGAATGGTCTTGTGTAAATACAATCATATTCACTCAGTATATCTTTTGAATTGAATGAGTTGTGTATTGGTTGGGTTGGAAAGGTTTAGTTGTGACGTGAAACGCTGAAGGAGAGGACAATATTTTACCAATGGCTTTTGATTTAAAGATGTTTAATATGACCAAAATTTAGACTTCTGACTGAAGGTGCCTTTCTTTGAAATCAAAAGCATTATCTTCTCTACAAAGTTTGATGTTGTGATTGAGCCGTTTTTCCGACCAGAGACCGGAGGAGAATTATGCTGAACGCATTATGTTGGTTGATATACCATGGAGAAGGGGGAGCTTCGCAATATTTTCTATTTGCTAGACGGGCTAGAGGGCACTTGGGTAAATTCTTGTTTTTTTTCCATACCACAGTTTGACGCACTCGTGTATAACATTTTATTAAGTTTTTCTCGATGGAACGTTTTTCCACATCCTAAAGATGGAAAAGAAGCTATGAGTATGAGAATTAAAAGATTGCGAAGATTTTATTAAAACCAATAAACTTACGTCGTAAACATATGAATTGGGAACTTTTGTTTGATAGGCCGACAGAGATGTACGGAGGTTCAAGCGGCAGTGAAAAGCCTGCAGAGCAACAACGCATCTTTGTAGACTCTGCCGGTATATCGGTTTTTTTAAAGCTGTAAAAAGCCATTAATTATTATGATGTGTGTAAGGTCATAGCATAGTCCAAAATCTTCCTATTTGACACAAGGAATCGTGGTTTAAACAAAAAATTTGGAAGAAAAAAGTCAAGTACGCAAAGTTTACGTCATTTTTTTTCGCTCAGACTCAACACGATATATATATTTGTTAACCTCAAAACTTGTTAATTTTGCAGTTAATACAAATCGGGGGGTCAAGGGGCGTAACTCATTTGGACTGAGCAGTTTCTTCCTTTAACCGTTTTGTTTACACGGTTTCTTTGAAGACGGTCCGATAATGGCCCATCCTATTCATATCAGTAAAACGCTGCACTCTACGTTCCGTTTGTTCGAGAACGACCAACGTAGGGAGTATATTAGAGAAATTCCACATATTGACCCAGTTTGCGTCTTTGTTATGCGGGTGAGTTTGAACAAAAAATATCTACTTCCTTGTTTTGAGTGATCATTGTTAGTAAATTGTTGAATAAAATGGGACGGAATGCTTTAACCGCACTACTGGTCTTACTAGATAAGCAGCCTTCGGAAGTTCCAATGGTAAAAAAGAACAAAATAACCAATCTTTAAATCAATGATTATTCGGATTATTTAAAAATAAAATATTAAAATATTCGTATCTACAGAACTCGATGGATAGTAGGCCTACATGTCGAGGGGATCGTGTTTATGGTGAAATTTCTTTCCTTTCATGCCAATATCAGCAACCGCACTGAAACAAATTTATATTTTTAAGTCTGTTTCTCCTGATAACAAATGGGCAAAGTTTCGATTCGGTGTGGGTTCGTTACTCTCTGATAGACACTGGACAGAGAACCCACAGAAATATACTAAATGTGTCTCTACAACTTAATAGGTAAGGTAACAACTGTCTAACAATATTTCATTCTAAATGGAAACGGGGTGGGGCGGGAAAGTGTTTTTAAAGAAAAAAATCAAGATCATGGGTGGTTGAAAATGGTCGATAAAACAATTTAGGTGCAAAATGATTCCGATGATTGCTGTCAGCACTCTTTTCACTCGAAATATTTAAAAAAAATCTTGTTCAGGAATAAATTAGGCAATTTGCGATCAGAAATGAAAGTAAACAAACTTTTTGTTTTTATAAAGGATGCAGATAATCAGTGGAGATCAGGTGAGGGTCGGCTTCGCATCCGCGGACCCCCCCCCCCCCTTCAAATAATCCTGGATCTTCTCCCTTTTCTGGCAACTTGCTTCATTTACAGGTAGATCTATAGATCTAAACAACAACAACAACAACAACAACAACTATTATTATTATTATTATTATTATTATTATTATTATTATTATTAGAACGAATAACAGGTTTTCTCAATAAGGGCCATTCTACCAAAAGTAAACAATGGTATCACGTTTTATATCACGATTGATTTCTTTTCATAATGGACAGAAATATGCAATAAAACAGCAAATTAATGGGGCAAGTCAAAATCGCGCATGACTCAAATGTTCACTTTTATACGGTATAACCAAGGTTTTTCTTAAATCATTAACTTAATAATTTCGATGATTTATCCTTTCGATGAAATCCTTTCGCTTAAGGTGCAAATATTTAGTATTAGAGAAAGCAAAAACGTTTCAACGTGCGAATGAAACAGCACACCTCATTGATCAGATAGCTGGTAAATGTCGCTTAGTTTGCTGGCACGTCTTGCTCTTTGGTATTAAAGGAAAGAAACGAATCAATAGTGCTTATTTTGAAAAGAAGTAGTTGACAATGCCGAAGAGACAGAAAACGAAAGAAAATTATCAGCTTTCCTCGTCAGAGCCTGAATGTGATGAAAGGTTTATTATCTTTATTTAGATTAGGACTGTGTTAATTTTTGTTTTAAACGCAATAATGTTTAAACTTACGAAAACAGGTTATAAACATTTTACAGAAGGAAACAGATGTCGACTGAGAGTGAGATGTGATTTTAGGGGATATCATATCTGAACGTCCACAATACTGGGTAACAGCAATGGGGCATGAAATTAAAGCAAAATACAATGCATGTTCTAAGCGAAAAGGGTGCTCACAAGATCAGCGGCATGTTGAAATTGTGATGTTCCATGTCCCTTTGTTGTTACCTAGTATCATGGACGTGCAGATATATATAAATAAAATCGTTTTTTTTTTTTTCAGATACTTTTTAAACCCAGAATCAGTGAGCCAGCACCTGTTTTGTTCCATATGCCAAGAGGTTTATGTCAATCCATATAGAGCCCCGTGTGGACATAGTTTCTGCAAAAGAGTGAGTATTAAAGCACAATATTAAAATCCTAAGTTGGTGCAAATGTAAACAATTTTCAAAATAATGTGATAATTTTTCCTTAGATTTATTTATGCATTTTGTAGTTTTCTGTAGAGAATTATATGATATCAGACATAGGAGTGATTTTATCAATTTTAAGGACTGTTTTCTTGATTTTGAATATATAAAGCTCATTACTTTTATTCCAATTTAACATTTTGTGACTAGATTTGATAAGCTGATTGACCTTTTTTCAGTGTATATTACCATGGCTTAATCAAAGCAAAACATGTCCAGAAGACAGGTAAGAATAGCCAGTTGTTGTATTTTAATAGATTGATTATTATCACATTTGAATTCATGCCAAACATATTGATTTGTAAATGTGTTATGTCAAGAGTGACAAGTTCCGTTTAATACCAATCCTAAATTACCATTTATTATCTGTTTGTAATTACAGTTCTTAAAATACTCATAAGAAACGTTTTGCATTTTAGGAAGAAATTGGCTAAGTTTTCCAAAATGAGCATGTGTCCTAGCCAATGTCACAACCATTCTTTATTTTTGTTGTCCCGTGGACCAGGAATAATTGGGCTTAGTACATTTATTTGTCACCAGTTGTCTGGGCCACCAACAAATTCCTCTCTTACTATCATATTTCATCTTCACAGAAAACCCGTTCATCCAAAAGACTTGCATCATGACTTCATCCTGGAGAATATCATAGGAGATCAGATGGTCACGTGTCCGTTCAGGAAACATGGCTGTGATTTTATTGGACATTTAGCTATGCTTTCATCTCACTTGAAAAACTGTGACTTCAATCTAAGCAATCTGCCAGAGTTTCTGAAGACGCATCTAGTTGACAGCCCATTTGCTAAAGGTATTCCTGTTTTGGTGGTGGTCATTGGGGATAATTTAGAAGGACTGTTCTTTTATTTATGAGGCAGAAAAGCTCACTTTCCAATTTTTTAAGGTCTAAAAAGTTCAGTGTCACTTTATCCTGGATCTGGAAAATATTAGATTAGGCTGTTATGCAAAACTTAGTTTAACTGAAAATAGATTTAGGAACATGTTAATTTCTGTTTATGGATCTTTTACAATTATTTTGAAAGTGGTTTTCTCTTAATTTCTTAGGCCCATTAAAAGAAAAAACAAATACCCCATTATCAGAAGATGAGGAGGCAGATGATCTACCTACACCAGTGAAACCCTCCCTTAAGATGCGTCTTTTTAGAGCTGGAGGTGGATCGAGGCAGTTATTGTGTTCAATGTTTGACAAAGATTCACCGGGTAGTTCTTAAAGGTACATACGAACCGAACATCGGTGGAGAGTGGATTCCCAGTAACACATGTAAACCACTTCTACTAGATTCTTTTATGACTCAAATAAATTTGACATGCCAAGGGATAAACTGAATAGATCACTCGATCAGCCATAAAAGACCTTTAAATTTATGGTTGTAAATTTAACCTACATGTACTTCCGTGACCTACTTTCCTGCCCCATTGACATATAGCTTAGAATGCCAGCAGAAAAATCTGTTCAAACATCATTTTCGGGTAAAGTTAAACAATGCCTTTTGGTAATTCTCTTAGTTATACTACTTGAAACTATATGCTGGCATTTGGTTGGTTTTTGTGACAAAAAATTGACTTTGTATGCATCTTTAAAACAAACAGCCATGCAAAAATGTGACAATCTTTATTCACAACTGATGGTACATGAAGACGTTTCCAAAAGACTCCCCCAGTGGTCAGGATATCAAGACACCATTTCAAAAAGGAAAGGATTATAAAGCAGATCTGCAAATAAGAGAAATCTACATTTTTTGCTTTTACCTGAATTGGAGTGCATCTTATTGTAAGTGTGCATTTATAGTCCACAAAACTTAACGAATTATTGAAAAGTTATTGTGAAACTGGTTTTATGTGCAATGAAAGATTTCTGTTTATTTTTAAGTATGTTAAACATGATGCATGTAGATTTTTAATTTCTGTTTTTTTTTCTTTTTTTTTTCATCTTGTTTCATGGTTTCAGAAAAAAATCTTGATAAAGAGCTTTCTATAAAAAAATTTTTTAGACAAGAACTACTGTTCAGATGGATGCATTTTTTAATGTTCAGAAAATTACAGTGGCATTCTGAATGAGGTACGAAGAGCAGTGCCCCACTGTCTCATGTTCTATCCAAACATTGAGTCATGAAGGGTTTCTAGATCATGTTCCCTTTGTTTCTGTCTGGCCTGAAGAGGAAAAAAATTCATTACTGAAAATCACAATGGCCACAGACATGAATGTTGCACATATTATGTAAAGCACTTTCCATGGTATGAATGGTAAAATAGTGATCGAAATAAAGTTTTTTTTTACTCAAGTTGAAAAAAAAATTATTTAAATGTTTACTCAAAATCTATATTGGATTCTGTTACTGTACATATAATAAAAATGACAATAAACTGAAGAATTATTTTCTTAACTACCTTGTGTTTCTTTAGTTCTTCGTAGTGTGGATCATCAGTGGGAAGTTCATATCTACATACTGGACAAGAGTTGGTCTGGAAAAAGTTTTTCTCAAAATATACAGCACTTTTTTAAATGTTATTCTAATAATGGTGCTTCTGCCATTATTATACAAAATTGCATATATAGAACTAGAAAAAAAAAAAAAACACTGCAGGCACTTATGGCTGACCTCTATGAACGTCCAACAGAGATGTTCAATGCGTTACTATCAGATTTTTTTAAAAGGTGGATATTACAGTGTTTGACCTTCGTTTGAANTGTTTATATTTAAGTATGTTAATCAGTATGCATGTAGATTTTTAATTTCTGTTTTTTTTTCATCTTGTTTCATGGTTTCAGAAAAAAATCTTGATAAAGAGCTTTCTATAAAAAAATTTTTTAGACAAGAACTACTGTTCAGATGGATGCATTTTTTAATGTTCAGAAAATAACAGTGGCATTCTGAATGAGGTACGAAGAGCAGTGCCCCACTGTCTCATGTTCTATCCAAACATTGAGTCATGAAGGGTTTCTAGATCATGTTCCCTTTGTTTCTGTCTGGCCTGAAGAGGAAAAAAAATTCATTACTGAAAATCACAATGGCCACTGACATGAATGTTGCACATATTATGTAAAGCACTTTCCATGGTATGAATGGTAAAATAGTGATCGAAATAAAGTTTTTTTACTCAAGTTGAAAAAAAAAATTATTTAAATGTTTACTCAAAATCTATATTGGATTCTGTTACTGTACATATAATTAAAATGACAATAAACTGAAGAATTATTTTCTTAACTACCTTGTGTTTCTTTAGTTCTTCGTAGTGTGGATCATCAGTGGGAAGTTCATATCTACATACTGGACAAGAGTTGGTCTGGAAAAAGTTTTTCTCAAAATATACAGCATTTTTTAAAATGTTTTTCTAATAATGGTGCTTCTGCCATTATTATACAAAATTGCATATATAGAACTAGAAAAAATACACTGCAGGCACTTATGGCTGACCTCTATGAACCTCCAACAGAGATATGTTCAATGCGTTACTATCAGATTTTTTAAAAGGTGGATATTATGGGCAAATCTGGATGGAAGTCCTTTGTAAATGTTACACCTACTAGTAATAATGTCCTAATTCTTTTTTTATTTTGGTAACTAAGGACTCACTTTTTGTAACCATGGCAATATGCATTCGGGATGAAATTTGTGTTGGCATGGTAACTGTTTTGTGGCTTCAGCTTCATCATATGGCACAAGGCAGATTGGGCATTTAAGATCACCTAGTTAAAAATATAACACAGATTTTAATTATTAAAATAACACACTTTTTTCATGTATTTTTTCAACTGTATAATAGTGGGGGTTTTATAACATGGTAACTACCATTAATCCTTCAAAATGCATTTATACGCAATAATCAACCAAAAAAGTTAAAAGCAAAAGTACCTGCTTCATCAACTTTAACGTAACATGTGGGTAACCCTTCCACTGCTTTTTTGGAGGCTGGTGGGGCTGTCCTTTCTTGTTGGAATAAACTTAAGAGAAGAATGGATGAACATCAAAGACTACTGTTAATTCATTTCACAATAACTCACCCTTATTCCAATTTGAACACATATTTAAAATATTAGTAATTTAAACTACTCCAGTAGGTATTTTATTACTTTATATTTAGAATCAGTATAACAATTACTGAATGTAATATCTACCTTTCAAATTCTTCTGTTAATCCCATATCCATTAATAACCTGTTACAAAATAAAAATAATATTTATCACTTTTTCTTGTCATTATTTTAAAATATAATTAAAATTGTTTCCATGGTTGGTAAATAATGTACTAGCTCTAAATAATGAAAATACTAGTAATGTGATCACAAAATTAGAAAAGCCAATTTACTCTGGCTAAAGTTATGTCATTATACTAAGTAACTGCACACTGCACTTCCACAACTTTGATCAAACCAATTTAAAATTATAGGACTGCGCATATTATGGATAGTTCTGTACTACATGTACCATGGCCTTCCTCCCAAGTAATTACTAACTGTCGTACATGTACATCAATATAATACTAACCTCGCTAAATGTAATAAATGATTTGGCCCCTCTCCTTCTCCCAGTGGCACACAATCGTGTTCATCATAGTATGACGCCATGTTACTGAATCTTAATACTTCAAATTTGTACAAGTCACTCACGGTGTTGTCACTTTTCAATGTGACATAAGGAATGCTTACATCATGCATAAAATAATAAAATATGAATGTTGCTCGGAAGTTTGTCAGATAACATTTTTATGAAAAACTCAATCAGATATTACTTGGCAAATTGCATTTATATAATGCTACATAAAAAGAAGTCAATATATGTTGAAAAATAGTAAAATGTACTGTGATTTTAGTTTGTCTTAAGCTTCATTCAAAATAAAGTGGCTTATCTTGGTGCGAAATTCCCTCTACCGTCAGACAAACACCTGCATGAAGATGGCTGAAAAAACAGTAGACACTTCCTCCCCAGAGTATCAAACAGACACTGCTGTTGACAGTAGTTCAGGTAAGTTTGCTTTTTATAAATAAAGACAAAATTTTCCATTATTTGACAGGAACAATTACACTTTGCAATAACGACAGGCACATTTTCAAGACACATCTACGAGCAGTAACAGTAACACAAGTTTGTTTCATGATATGTTCGCTGGTAAATAAATGTTTTGTTTTTTTTGTTTGTTTGTTTTTTTTTTGACAGATATTACTGCTGTAAGTATGATGACTTTGATATTTTGAGTTGGAGTTAAGATTTTATCTTTTATGATTATCAGCTTTGCCACCACCTCCCCAAGAAGTTTCAGATCTTTGCAAAGAAACGTTTGATAAAATGTCAGACTATTTAATGGGTGAACTTACAAGTAAGTATTTCACAGTTAGTATTTATTTATAGTAATAAGTATTTCATGACTATAATTGCTAAAAGAGCAAAAATACAACTTAATGTAGAAAAAGTATATAAGTATTAGTTGAGACTGTTCAACAATTGATATTAGTTAATTACCGATAACATTTTGTTAATATTTTCCAGCCTCATTATATCGGTCAAATCATTATTTGATTTTTGTCAGGTTTCTACAAATTACCTTTTTTCAGTATTCGATAGCACTGTCATTTACACAACCACATTGTTGTGGGGCATCTTTTATTTAATTTTGAATATTAGATAGAATGTATCGGAAGGGTTAAATGGATTTTTTTCTTTTGACAGTGACAGTAGAAGACTACAGTCTTTTAGAACAGATGAACAAAGTTACAATGAATAAGTACTTTGAAATGAAACAGATGACAGCCAACATTAGCACAGCAATGCAGGAACTTAATGACAAATGTGAGTATTTTTATGTACAGACACAGATGTGTCTGTACATATAGCCGTCACCTGCGTCTGTCGTCGCCGTTGCCGTTGGCGTGCACTTTTACCGATAACACGATAAGTGGAAAACGGTTTTACCTTTTGGCTTGAAACTTACAGAACTGATGAATATTCATAATACGCAGGTCAAGTTCGAAAATCAGCATGATTGGGTCATTTTTAGGGAATTTATGCTGTTTTTTCACTTTTTTCAGCATATATGCAACCCCGATAACATGATAAGTGGAAAACCATTTTACCTTTTGGCTTGAAACTTACAGAACTAATGAATATTCATAATATGCAGGTGAAGTTCGAAAATCAGCATGCTTGGGTCATTTTAAGGGAATTTATGCTGTTTTTTCACTTTTTTCAGCATATATGCA